GACAAGAACTATTTCATGTATACTCGTTGTTAAGATCAACGATAGAATAATTTGTCAATAATTCATCGTGTTGATGAGTTTCTAATAGCGAGAAGTTTTGAAAATTAAAGAAATCTCTCAATTATAGAAAAAGTTAAGGAGTTAAAGAAACATTTACTAATATCTAATAATTATTAATATCAATATTCTTAATTATTACTTATAACAAGTGCATGGGGATTCATAATTAGCATTTGCTAATGATATAGTTGTTTCATTCCCAAATTTTTGAGAAACGGTAAAGGGACGAGGCTGGGGACCTACCAAAAAACAGGGGGTCGAGGTGACTTCATCTTGGCCCCTGATCTGAATTGCAACTATTTAAATCAAGGGTCGAGGTGCTGCAACCTTGGCCTCCTTTTTTTTGGTCGGTCCCAGCCTTGCCCGTCTAGCATGTCTCCAAATTTTTATGTCATTTAGCTGTCAATTCATTGAATGGAGTCCTGTACAATTTCTTGTTTGTCGTGTTCGTTGTTTTGGGGCTGAAACCCGAGTTTGAGGTACATTAACATTAAAGAATGACAATCGAGAAAAAGCGAAGTGTTTTGGAAGTGACACTGAAGATAAAAGGTGAGAAGCTAAAGTTTAAATTACAAATAAGAAGCTACTTGTTAAAGCTCAATTAAAAGCTACTTATGGTTAAAGCCATGATTTATAGAATGAAATATAAGACTCTGGAATTTTGGGTCTTTAAATTAAACAAATGATAATTTTCGTTAGTGAGTTATTTGGATAAGTTTAAGGAAATTTCTTGTACTGTACGGAATAACTCAGTTAGTTCGTGTTGAGTCATATGATTCATGCACTTGTCAGAACCCATCCAACTCACAAACTTACTCCATTTTCACAATTTTCCATATAATTCACCTATATTATATAATCGATTCATGGAACAAAGAATATTATTTTAGTTGCACTACAACCAAATCTTTCTATACCTCGTAAAAAAAAAAAAAAAAAATTGTAAACCCTTCCAGAAGAAAATGCCTCGAACCAAAAGAAAAGAGAGACGTTTTTTAGACAGAGACAAGGACCGCTGCTTCATGGTACTTCACTGGAGAGTTTGGTAACATTTCTTCGTAAAGAGATTGAAAACCTTGAATATTGGTGCTAGATTGAATCCACGAATAGAAGTTACACCTCCCTGTGAAAATAAGAACGAGATTTTTATTCCGATTTGTGGAGTAGTTCTAGTACAAGCGTAGGAGTGGCGAGACATCAAGGCCACGTACTTGGTTCCATTCCTCTACAACTCAAAAGGATAAGAAAGGAGGGAAGTTTGCTTAAGTGTTTTTAAATTTATTTTAATTTTATGGTGTAATCCCAAAATATTTTTGACATTTGTATTCTTCTTCTACGGTGAATTATTTACTCGTGGCATGGGGTCCGTGAATGTTTCCTTTAAGCGTCTACCATATTATATCGTGTGTTATGTTCTTCAATTAATCTTTTCACTACAAGAAAACGAAATTTTGTAGGTTGTTAGAATCTGCATTTTTTTTTTTTTTATGGAAGATGAACGGTGTCTCCGAGATTTTATTAATATGTCATCACTTGTGGCAGAGGATTATCATGGTTACAAATGATATCAAT